ATTCCAGTCGAGCAAGTGGATAGAGCCATGTGCCAGGTAGAGAAGTACAAAGAAAGAAAACATCGTCTGGAATGCGGGCTAAAATTTGGGAAGCTTACCATCCTACTACAGCGTCGGGGGAACGGGGATCGAGGGGATGGGGGTTCCCATGTGGCCAGCCTCGACCTCCAAGCACTGGCAGCAGAGCGTTCAGACGTGCTGGCTACGACGCAAGTGTTAATGTACCTACTCAGCAAACACGGCTACTTGCAGAGCAGTAGGCAGCAAAATGTGCTGCCGGGGGTGACGGGAGACGGGGGTAACGTCCGTGCTCAGCAGGATGGGCGACGGAAGCCGGACGGCCCGTCGAGTCAGCAGCAGATGCGGGGCGCCAACCAGGTTCGACCCTGGTCAGTGGATCCCGGAGCACCTCATGGCCCGCAGCACGCAGCCCGTAGGACTCCGCTCACACCCAGCCCAGCGAGCCCTGTCCAGAGCGCGGTGGAAGTAAGAGGGTGTTAATGAAAGCTGGTTATGCCGGGCCAATAGTTTTTGTTTAGCCGAATGATAGTGTGCATAATCCCCAGTAATGATGTCGCGCGTTATCTCTTGTGTAGATAACGGACGACGGAGTGCTGGACCTGGGGCTTCCAAGTCGTATGGGCGTCGCTCCCTATGGAGTACTCACACCTGAGAAGGAGGCTTTGCTGAGAAGTGAGAGAAAGGTAAAGTATTATGCCCCGTTGGTAGCCGAGCCTGCCGAGCCGGTGGCGCCACAGAGGCCCCCGTGCGGGTAGGCAACCCAGGCAACCCGCTGAGCTGCGGGCGCACGTAGGTGGCTGATTAACCCCGCTCACCCCTAGTTCTGCTGCACCGCACGCACGAGTGCCTATCGCCCCTGTCCGCCTTACTCATTTGCACTCGTGCGTGCGGTACAGCAGAACTATAGAAGTGAGAGGGGTTAATCAGCCACCTGGTACAGTGAGACCAACCTGAGGTCCGTCTTTTCACAGCACGGGCAGCATAGGAGTTTGCAGGCGTGAGGGGGTGAGGAAAAGACGGACCTTAGGCTAGTCTGGCTATACATATGCATGAGCGCAACTGGACGCTGGGCAGAGAGGTCATGAATCAACCAGTCATATCTGCACAGGTGAGGGAGATTAAGGGACCACTCGAGTGCAAAGCAGACCCTGAATTCTCCAGACTACTACTTCAAAAACATCTTTCTTCTCTGGAGACAGTCGACTTAAGAAAGGTAAGACAGGGCGGCCGGGA